GAGCTCTGTGTAGATCTGATTCAGAAGGGTTGGGTTTCCTGCTTTAGCGATCCCCTCAAACACACACTGGAACTTCTTCTTCAGTGCAGATTTAAGTTCATGCTGACAAACTGCAGCAAAGTGTTCTTGATGGAAAGCAATATATAGAAACTAATTATGTTTTAATAATCACAAATTACATGTTTAATTTTCTAAAGAACCACTGTTTGAATACATTTAATCCTTTAAAACCAGTCGGAGCGGGAACGCTCCATTTTGCGTAACTATTTTTAAATGCCTGTAGAACTGCAACCACATAAGCTAGCGCAATATTTTTTTCTTGCATGTGAAACTGGAGGAGTTGTACTTGCATCTTATGCCATCAGCTTGTCCTAGGTCACTGTTTCTTTCCATATATAGCTTTGCAAAACTTGCGTAAAAATCACTGGCAGCAACAAAAACACAATATTCCAGAAACACGCTTTGCCGATCCGATCATAGCACTTCCTACATTGGAATAGACATCAGTGTGAACTAAAGGGCTTTGGAGAGTGATGTAACGAGAGGGGGCGTGGCCAGGATTTTTGGTTGAGGTGCCATCTTTCTGGGCCAAACAAAGTTCAAGCGAAAGAGGAGCGAAAGCACACACATCAGCCATGGTTCGCACTTGCTGTGTGGTCGGCTGTAATGTTCGATCGCATGACCGGCAAGGGAATAAGCTTGAGAATGGTATATCTTTTTATGCTTTCCCAACCTGGAAGCAACATGAGGGAGCTCATGTATCGGATGTTACCAAGAGAAGACGTCTAGCCTGGATAGCTGCTGTGAGACGAGCTGATATCCAGTTCTCTTCCATCTCCAAATATCTGTTGGTGCTCCAGACATTTTCATTCCGGTAAGTTCTAAATATGTTCATATCACTATTTATAGCTTATTAGTTTTATTTTCGATGCACTCTGAGGTCATAGCAAATTACAACAAACATCCTACTGAGTGATTTTGCAGAATTACTCTCTATTTATAGAGTTGCTAAATATTTGGCATTATTGCAGCAAACCAGCCGATGAAATGGATGAAACACATCGTGACTGGGTTCCAGCGCTACACGAGGGACCTGCTTCAAACATACCACCATGCCAATCAGATTACTTCTTCCATGTGAGGGTGAAGAGGTGACCCTTCTGGATAAGATGGTGAACAGTATGGTAGTAAAACCAGGGAAAAATAAAACTTGTTCCTGTTAAATATTCTTAAGTCTTGTACTGTATAAATAGCAGTAATGTTTCAGAAGTACAGTGAATTAAGTAGTGTTAGCAGTGGGTGCTATCATGTAAACGCTGTCATGATTTTATGTGAACATTTTGTCATTTGTAAACTATAAATGGCATGGATTCTACATTGTAACTGATATGATGATCTATAAAGTGGTTTTATTTTTTTAAAAAAAGACAAAAATTAGTTTGTTTCTTTAGTCAACTTTTGAACAGTGGTACTCAGTCAGTACATATTCAGTAAATGTAAATTATTTACATGGCAGTGCACTTCAGGCATAAGTCTAGACCAGTAGATAAAACATTATGGGTCATTCCCACAACCCACAGCTTTACTGTGTTCCAGCAAAGTATCCAATAGCGGTGACGACTCCTCCACAGTAGCAGGTGGGATTTTTCTTTTTTGAGGACGGCTCCTTTTACCTGTCACTACGGATGGTCTGTTTATGTTTTGATCAAGAGCCTTTTTTTGGGCAGCTGAAGAGGAGAAGTCTATCTTATGGCCAACCTCTGGCTGCATCTTGGTCATATTCCCCAGCAAAACCCAGTATGCAGGTTCATCTGTAACAGTCCTTCTGCCACAGATCAACACTGTTGGTTCTACATTAAACAGAATAGCAGCGACAGGGGTGCAGGTCTCCAGCCATACAGGTGTAGTGGGCGGCCCACTACACCTACCCAATCTTTGGTGAATTGGATGTGTCCCTCCAGAAATTTCTAATTGCGAAACTGGTTCCCCTTGTACGCGCTGACTCCACAGACAAGGTACGATAATATATCAGGCTACGTCAATAGCGGTAGGTCTTCAGGGTTTCTACTCCACGGGTCCACATTTCCAATGTACGGTATTTTATGCAAGTACTGCCTCTTTGCATCCAGATGCAATCTGTCTCTGTACCGTCCTTTTTCTTTTAAACTGCTTTAAGAATGTTTCTAGCAATCGTCCTTCCAAGATAGTGTGTTTGTTTTGATTAGTGGCCCAGGAAGATGGCGCCGCGCTCCCACAATGCATTGCGGCGTGTCGTCAACTCCAAAGCCCTATCGTATGTCTGACATTACGTGCCCGGAACCGGAAGTGACATAATTTTCGCGGAAAATGTAGCTTTTACCTTCGTGGCCTTATAAGCCTACACTTGTGTTTTTAAAAGTCATGTTTGACTTTATGCCTTGTAAATTAGAATAGACAGCTAAAGCTAGAAAACTAGAAGCAAGGGATGAACAGAATGTGGGAAAACAGCCAACTGGACAACAAGAAAAGGGAGACTGAGGACTTAAACCCACACATAGAAAAACTAGGGGATGGGAAACAGGAAGAGACTATCAAAATAAAACAGGAATTACGCCAATTATGGAGAAAGACTTACACACCAGGCTTTCCACAGGGACTGAGAGGGGAAAAAACAGACATGAGAAGAAGACTATCTGGTAAGACAGAAAGGGAAAACCAAATGTGAAGAAAATGCTGACTAAACCCAAGAGAAGAATAGATCCCTAGGGAGGAAAATGCTAAGATAACCAAGAGCAGAACTAACTAACTAACAACTAACCATAGCACACTTTATACATAAGGTAAACACAACCATGAAACTAGTGGTATAGGATATTCCAATAACCCAGCAACCCAGTAAAGTCCAGAAACATAGACATAGACAAAGTACCATGACACAGAAGGTTAAATCTTTAGATAAATTCTCTTACTGCTCTGCAGATGGTCAGCTAACTCATCCTGCTTCATTCTTTTTAGAAAGTCCACTGTGATCTTCATAAATGCCTCTCTGCTGCTGCTCCTCTGACTCTCTAAGCATTCTGGGTAATCTGGACTCAGAGCCTTCTGGATCTTCTTCAGCTCGTTCCTCACAAAAGTGATGATGTTGTCCTCCAGCAGCTGGAACAGAATATTTATGAATGAGCCAATCAGACTGAAATCATGGAGCCAAACATCAGATCCATGTTGGACACACTGACCATCCACTGGTCTACAAAGAGCAGCATGGAGATGACTGTGAACAGAATAGATGTAAAAGTAGTTGTTGTACTTGTACAGACCATAAATATGGAGTCCAGATGTGTTTGATGCTCCTGGGCAGACTGACCACTGGGAACCTCTGAGCTCTCCTGGTCCACTCTGTGGCGTAATCAAGGAGAATTTCCCAGAGGAACACACCCGAGGGATTAATAAAGTTTTATCTAATCTAATCTAATTAGTTCAAGGACAGAGCACAGATGAGTAAGTTTTCTTCTCTGTGTTAGTTCTCAGAAAATGCAATCCCAATCAAGTTTGTAAAGCTTTAAATGGTATCTCAGATACCATTTAACCAGGCCAGGGGTGGGGAACTCTGGTGTTCTGCAGGTTTTAGATATCACCCTGGGTCAACAGACCGGAATCAAATGATTAGTTCATTACCAGGCCTCTGGAAAATTTCAGGACATGTTGAGGAGGTAATGTAGCCATTTGAATAACCTTTGTTGGATGAAAGACACATCTAAAGCCGGGAGGACACCGGAAGTTCCCCACCCCTGTATTAGGCAATTTCATTTATTTTTCCAGATGCATTCTCGCACCTACCCAGTC